CGGACATGGCGAGCAATATAAATACGAGTTGTGATGGGATCGAGACACCGATAACCAATGTGAGATGGACTATACCCAAGAAAAACACACGGAGTAGACCGAAAAGACATTTTTTGTTTGTTATAGGGGCGAAGAAACAGAAAACAAAGACACCCAAAAATCTTTAAAAATTTGTAGTCAGGGGATTTGGAGAAAAGACATTAAAGAGAAGAAATATTATTAGTAACCCTAGAGAGCATGCGATTGATGAGATAAACAGCAGTTTCAAATGCAAAGTCCAATATTTATAAGGCACAGACGCATGAGCAAGAAAGGTGAGACCGGTTTCAATAATATGACGGTGACGACATTCAACCGAGCTATTTTGCTCATGTGTATGTGGACAGGGGTGATGATGAATAATGCCCAAGTATTGAAAACATGGATTTAGTTTGCGATATTCACAACCCCAATCGGTTTGAATAGGTTTAATTTTGCATGAAAATTGGAGTTCAACCAAAGCTTGAAATTTTGGCAAAATGTGAAAAACATAAGATTTATGAGAGAGAGGAAAATACCAAATAAATTTTGAATAATCATCCAGAAATATTACAAAGAATTTGTGACCATTACTCGACAGAACGGGGGGATGGACCCCAAACATCACTAAAAACTAGATCTAATGAAGCTAAACTATGACTAGATGAAGATGGTAAGGAGAGTCTTGAGGATTTGCTAAGTTAACAAGCATGACACATTGCAACGGGGACTTGTTGGACACTGAAAGATTATGAGACTTGAGACCTTGACGAAGAACATGGTGATGTGGATGACCAAAACAACGATGCCAATAGGTAGAGGACACAACTTCGGAGGAGAATGTTGTAGGAGAAGCAGGTGAGGGAGAGAATTGGTAAAGACCACCATCATTCTTGCCGTGGAGTAGAATTTTCTTGGAGATTTGATCCTTAATCACAAAATGAGAAAGGTAAAATTCAAATAAAACATTATTATATTTAGTAAATTGATGAACAAATAATAAAGATTTCGAAAATGTGGGCACATGAAGAACAAGGGAAAGCGTAAAAAAATGGAGAGAGAGGTGATAGAGGATGAACCATCGACTTCGAAGAGGTGATGGCAGAGGTTGCAGAGTGCCTTAGGCACTAGATTGACCTTTAGTACCACGTATTATCCTCAGATTAACGAGCAATCTGAGCATACTATTTAGATTCTTGAGGATATGCTTCGAGGTTGTGTCCTTAACTTCAAGGGGACGTGGGAGAGGTACCTGCCCTTAGTGGAGTTTGTTTATAACAATAGCTTCCAATCAAGCATTGGCATGGCACCATTTAAGGCCTTGTATGGTCGACCATGTAGGTTCCTTGTGTGTTGGGCCGAGGTGGGTAATGCACCTTTGTTGGGTCCAGAGTTGGTTCGGAAAACGACGGAGAAAGTGACACTTATCCTTAAACGGTTAATTACGGCTCAGAGTCGTCAGAAAAGTTATGTTGACCGTAGGAGAAGACCTTTGTCTGAAAGAGTGGGAAGTTGTCCTCTCGATTTATTAAGCCATTTGAGATCTTTAAGCGAATTGAAGAGGTAGCTTACCATTTGGCATTGTCGCCATAGCTTTCTAGGGTTCATAATGTGTTTCATATTAGCATGCTTTAGAAGTATGAGATAGATCTATCGCACGTGTTAGATTGGACCGACTTAGAGGTAGATGAGGATGCCTCGTATGAGGAGAGACCGGTGAGCGTCTTGGATACTCAGGACCAAGTCTTGTAAGGCAAGACAATTTCTTTAGTAAAAGTATTGTGGAGACATCACGAGGTAGAGAAAGCGACTTAGGAGCGTGAATTGGAAGCTCGAGAGAAATATCCGAACTTGTTTGTTAGTGCCTGAGCATGTTTTAAGATTTTGATTATGTCAATGAAATGTATATGTTTTAAATTGTGAAAACATTGTGTGTTATGGGAGTTTGGAAACATGAATTCAATATAAACATTGTGTATGTTTTAAGAATATGGAATATTCTGTGCGTTGTACCACTTTTGGGAGCATTGTATATGTATTAAGTAAAGTTTGGAAAAGAACTTGGGTTTGGTTTAAACATCGTAAATGTTTTGAAAATTATTATTGGCGTGCCTGATATTAAAACTTGTATATCGAGTTGGTAAGAATGAATGGCCGGTGAGTGGGTCGTGATGTGGAATTGGCTATACTACTATTGTTGTGAATGGTTTAATAACGATTCTGAGTTTGATTTGAAATTTCAGAGACAAAATTCTTTAAGGGGGGAACGTTATAGAGATTTCAGTTTTGACTCGACTCTTGTAGTAGCCCGGACTCGGGTTTATGGTTTATGGATATTGTTCATTGTCTTTTTCTCTTTATTTCTCTTTAAGTTTGGTTATTTGGGCGTGTTGAGTGTGTTTGGAATAGGTTGGTTGCTTGGTTTTCCAACCTTGTGTTGCCCAGAATTTTAGTCCTCTACTCAAGTGACCCTTCTTGCGCTTGAGCGGGATTTGCAAACTCTCAGTACTTTGCACGTCTGCAAAAGTACTGGAGGGGTGTTTTCCACGCTCGAGCGACGTTTCCTACGCTCGAACAGGTGGGAGCTCGAGCGTCTCTTCTTGCGCTCGAGCGGTTTATCTGTTGTCTACAAAAGTATTGGAGGTGTGTAATCTACGCTCGAGCAGGACTTCTTGCGCTCGAGCGAAACAACTTGTTATGTCTGACACTCGAGCGTCAACTCTTGCGCTCAAGCGGACTGTGCGTATATCAAATCGCAAAAATGACTTCTTACATCACTTTTTCAGATATTTTCATCTTAAAATCTAAAGTTGAGACTCTCTCTCTCTCTAAAACACACTCTCTCTCTACATTTTTACCTAGTTCTAATGGTTTCTCCACCCATTCACCTTTGTTAAAAAGTTAGAGCATCTCAAGATCTACACTTTGATCCGAATAAAGTTGGGATTGGACATTTTTGAAGTTGCACCCTTGCTTGGCTCATCTTCTCTCTTTGAGATAGGGACTTTATATATTTTGTTATAACTTAGTTATTTGTGGTTGTGTAACAATGGTGAGTTTTGGGAGTATTATGGACAAACCTAGGGTTTGAGATATAAAATCAAAAGAGGGGTTTTGAGTAATGTGAAATAAATAGTCATGGAGTTAATTGTAAGGTTGTATTGTGGCCAAATGCTTGATTTGGGCCACTTGGGTTGCTATTTTTTTTTTAGGGGGGGGAGGGAGGAGGGGAGTTTTGCCCTAAATGTTTCAAATATTTATTTTGCATAACTATATGAAATTGGTGTTGCAAACATGAAATTGGTTGGATATTGGTAGAAATTGTGGAATTAGATATGTATTATCTCATACCTATGGAAATTTGAATAAGTTATCTGTCTTGAGATTGAATATCTATTTAGAAATAATAGTATTGGACTACCAATGGAGGATAGTCGTGATTGTTGTAGAAATTACATGAGGATTAAGTAAATTAAAACCAATATATTGTTGATTGTCATTGAATATGACCATGGTTTATATACATTATATATGTATGATTGTTTGGAAGGAGATAAGAGATAGACTCCATTGAAATTAAGTTGGTCGGAGTGTCCATGGTGAAAGTCCTGAAATCTTGTGTATACATAGATGCCGATCCCGCAAACGAAATTTTCGTAAAATGACAAATTTAAAATGTTTGTGTAGTAGTGTATTAAATTGGAAACCATTGAATTATAGTCTCATTTAGGTTATTGAAAAATGATGAAATTGACTCATGAATTGAGAATACTGAATGAGCTCTAAACGAATTAAAGTAAAATGAATTGAGATATGAACCTTGGTATCTTTTGATTATATAAAATGTAGAGATTTTGTCACCGGCATAGTATATCCACATTGTACTTATAACTTTGTTAAATCTCATATATTGTGATAAATTGTTTCTACTGGACTTTGGCTCACCCTATTTTAGGAAACCATTTTCAGGTACCGATGACATGCCTCCTCCAAGAACGTACCTTGGAAGGACCTTGGAGCCGAAGGCTCTTTTTATGTTATTATGTATTATATTATATATATATTTTTTTGGACTTACACCCAGGCCTTCTCGTGATTGTTTCACAATTTTGACCCCCGATGGCCTATTTTCAAGCCCCAGCGTTGGAAAAATGCAATTTTTCGACTTAGTTTGGAGTCTCGTGCTAGTTTCGTAAGTTTTCAAAACTTACATTGGTCCTTCTCAAGGTGTGTGGGGTGTTCCTTTAGCCTTCTCGAGACAGTTTCACGATTTTAACCCTCGATGACCTATTTTCAAACCTAAAGTATTGGAAAAGTGCATTTTTAGACTTAGTTTTCAAACTGGGAGTCTCGTACTAGTTCCGTAAGTTTTCACAACTTACATTGGTCCCTTCCGTGGTATTCGGGGTGTTCCTCGAGCCTTCTCGTGATTGTTTTACAATTTTAGCCATCGATGGCCTATTTTCAAACCTTAGTATTGGAAAAGTGCATTTTTCAAGCCCAGAGTCCCCGTGCTAGTTTCATAAGTTTCCACAACTTATATTGGTCCATTCTGAGATGTTCCTCAGGCCTTCTTGTAACTGTTACACAATTTTGGTCTCCAATGATCTATTTTCAAGCCTAAGTTTTGAAAAAGTGCATTTTTTGATTTAGGGGTGGATTGAAATGTTCTAAATAAGTGCACTTTTTGAATTTTTATTAAAAAAAAATATGTAAAAAAGTAGAGAAAGTGATTAGAAAAGTAGAGAAGAGATGTTGATAAATGTTAATTGATGTGACCTAAATAAGTATATGTAGATAAAAAAAAAATACTTTTTTAGTTTACTCCAAACAACTAAATTTTTAAATTAGGAGTCATGTGCTAGTTCCGTAAGTTTTCACAATATACATTGATCCTCCTGAAGTGTTAGGAGTATGCCAAACCTCTTAGTGTTAAAAAGATTACTTTTAACAGCGGATGCATTAAGTTATTTTCAAAAAACTTCACCACTACAATCCAATTAGAAATTTACCAATTAAAGGAAAATTCAAAAGATCACCGCACACTACATTTTGGCCAATCGGCCAACTGTTTGCTCACAAAGAGAAAATTTCACAAAACCTTTTCAATCTCTTTAAGGAAAATGAATATTAAAAAGAAAAACCAAGATATTTGGACCTCATTCAAATTAAACCTTTTTTCTTTTAAACAAAACAAAAACATCTCAATTAGGACAAAAACCTGTGCTAAGCTCCCAATGCAAATGTTAACTCTCTCACTGGTGCGTGTGGGGACTGAATCATCTGAATTAGTTGTTGGACAACACCTTTTTGAACAATGTGCACCTGCACAAATCATATGTAAAACTATAACAAAGAGTGTATAACAGTGGAATGGGATGTCCTCAAAAAATTTTAAATTCAATTTTAAATTTTTTAAATTCAATTTCATTCCACTTTATAGTCTGAATCTGTAGCAGCAAATTGCCCAAGTAACAAAGTTGCTTGTCTTTGGCTCTCTAACTAGCAGGAACTGTAATTGAAATCAAAATATTATTAGGATACAGAAATTGAAGGAAAAGTAGGAGAGGGGCAACAAGCTCCAAATTATTTAGAGGCCTAGTCCCTACAATATGAATTTGTTGATTTGCTTGCAGCCAACTGAGGATTGTGTAGCCAAAACTCTAAAAATAATATCATAGCAGAAAATCTATGGACCATTGAATGAGTTTTCTTTTTATTTTATTTTTTCTCATTCTAGTTTCTTTGGCTGCTTGTTCTTTCTCTATGAACACCAAACTAGTTTCAAATTTTTAGTTTCACCAAACCATTCAAGCTACATCTAGTTTTTTCACCAAACTAGTGTGTAGTTATTTAGAAAACATATTTTGAAAAAACCAAACAGTGTTTTAGTATAATAAAACGGACCATCTACAAAAATCCAACAACTTTTCCCACTATAAAAATGTGAGGAAAACAAAGTTCCCAAACTGATTTCTTTTACTTTTCTTTTTTCAATTTTTTTTCAAGTTCAAACTGTGGCTTCTTAGCATCACAAGCAACAACATTTGAAGTTTTCAACAATAAATTTTTTAGATATATCATCTTAAAGTGACAAGTAAACTTTCTTTAACAATTCTAAATATAAGAGGTTACCACATCAAGTCATGGTTAAACCTTAACACACAACCAGAATTTGAAGGAGGAAAAAACACTATAATAGCAATGAAAAAGGCATCATTTAATAAGGGAAGGGATTGAAAGAGAAACATGCTCTCACTAAGTCGTGCACACTATATTTAGAACATCAATAACATAACCTTCTTCTTCTTCTGCTTCAATTATATTATTATATATTATATGAATATAAAATGAATGAAATCTAAATTTTGGATTTTAACAGTTTGATTGGTTTAACCATACAAATCAATCCAACAGAAATCCTATTACTGATATCCAATAGATGATTTGCATTTCCCTAATAAAACGAACTTGAAAAAGGGAAGTCCTCTTGGTTTTTTGTTTGCTTTGTGTGTGTGTGTGTGTTTTTTTTTAAATTATGATACAAATCAACCAAATTTATCAAGCATTGAATAAAAAATGGTGATGAATGAGGCAAAATAATGTACCTCTGGAACATGACCCTTTCTTCTTTCTGTTTTGTTATCTTTTTCTTTGACTCTTCTTTGGAAATCATGTTAACAACAGTATCAGTTTTCTTCCCACCTTTGGCTCTTAGCTTATGTAGCTTATTTACATCAAAAGCATCATTGTGAGAAACCAGCAGAACAAAAGAGCAGCACAAACCAAGAAACTCATGGGAAAAACACAAACAAAACACCTATGGCACAACCCTGTTTGCTGAAGAATAACTTAGTCAAGAGAGGTAGCATAATTCAGCAAGAACTCGGCCAAGTGCAACAGCTAAACCTAGCCATGTATAGCAGCAAACCACCTACCTAGTCACTACTAATTAGCAATAACAATGAATCATCCTATTCCCCTGCTACTGAATCTCACCTAATGTAGAATAGATACTCTAAATCACTAATAGAGTATGATAATCTTGGTGATGTTGATATATATATATATATATATTTAGAAATTTCATAGTATTTCCAAAAGCCACAAGAATCAAAGAAAATTACTAAAATTCTGAGGAAAAAAAAATACTATCAAAGAATCAAGTTCATATATATATATATATACTAGCAGTTGTCGCATGCGATGCGTGTGCAATTCTAATAAATATAAATAAAATAAAACATTTATCATATATTGTATGCTAGTTAAGTGGTAAGAGTCTTATTCATTTAACATAAATTTAAAGTTCAAATCCCTCCTCTCACATCTATCTATTTTTTTTTTTATTTCAAATAAAAAAGTATACACGTGGCAGAAACAAAGGTTTTGAGACACATAAGGAGTGTTCACGTTATAATAATATAAATATAAATAGATAGATAGATATATATATACACACACCAAATAAGTTCTTCAAAATTACTTTAAAAAAAAAAAATCAAAACCATAAATTGGGGAGCAATAGAGAGAGAATGAGAGTGAAAAGGAGTTACTTCAAACTAGCGAAGCTAGTGGCACTAGTGATTGAGAGCAACGACTGCACTGTGTAGAAAAAAAACCTGTTAGGGTTTATAAATTAGGGCGAGGGAGAACGAAGGACGAGAGACAAGAGACAAGAGATGGAGATGAGAACAAGGGTTTGATTCGGCATTCAGTTAATCAGCCGTAAATAAGAACAAGGGGAGGAGAGAGAGAGGTGATTGAGACTGAGTGAGTGCGCGAGAGAGAAAGAGAGAGACGTCGCTGAGAGAGAGAGAGATGAGCGACTGAGAGAGATGATGCCGCTGCTGCACGCCGCCTCCTTTGCTACCCTACGCCGTTGAGAGAGAGAGAGAGAGAGAGATGAGTACGACTGTGAGCAAGAGGAGGAGAAGAAGAAGAAGAATGGGGAAATTTTGGGGGGAATTTTGGGAATATATATATAATGGGGAAATTTTGGAGAGATTTTGTTAGGGTTTTTTTTTTTTTTTTGGTAGACGTGGCAAAAAAGTGGGTTTGAACGAATCAAAATAAGTTTTGTATTAAAAATTTGTTTCAATTTTTGAAAATTATTTTTGGAATTTTTAATTAGTATTTTTTAATTTTTAGTGAAATTTTTCAATATTTTAATCAATTAAAAAATTATTAGAATATTAAAAAAGTTCATTAAAATTTTAAAAAATAAGGATTGAAACTTGAAAATTAGTTTTCAAAAGTTGAAACCAGACGAAATCGATTCAAATTCACCTGTTTAATAAAGGGGTTTAAATGGGTTCGATGGAGATGGAGTGCTAGTGGTGGTGGTGGAGGAGTGGTAGTAGTAGTGAAGCGACAGCAGTGGAAGTGTAGTGGTGGCGACGATTGTGGTAAAATAAGGCAGTGGTGGTGGAAGAAAAATGGTAGCGGCGGCGGCGGCGATAATAGTAGTGGTGGGGTAGTGGTAGTGCTTGTGGTGATGGAAATAATGGAGAGGTGACAGTGGTAATGGTGGTGATGCAGTAGGAGAGGCGGCAATGGTGGAGTTGCAGCAGTAGTGGTAATGGTGGTGGTAAAGTAGTAGCGGTGGTGGTGGTAAAGTGGCAGCGGTGGTAATAGTGGTGGAAGAGAGTTAGTGGCGGCAATGGTAAAGTAGTGATGGCGATGGTGGAAGATAAGTAGTAGTAGTGATGATAGTAGTGGTGGAGTGACAACGGTAGTAGAGTAGTGGCGACAGTGGTTGTGGAGTGTTGGCAGTTGTGGCGATAGAAGTGAAGGAGAGGTGGTAGTGGAGTGGTGGCAGCAGTAGTGGCGGTGGTAGAGTGGTGGTGATAGTGGTAGGAAAATCCATTTAAATAGGTACTCCTGTCTAACCCAAAGACGGCTTTGCAAAATAAGAATTGATTTGGGCAAACAAAGAGGGCTTCTCACTTATAGCATGAAACGACGGTATTTTGCATAATAAAACTATAGGAGACGAAATTATTTCCTCACGGAGAATTTTGTATAATGGTGACGAAAATTTTCGTCTCTAAAATGGCTCCCATATATTTAGCGAAATTTTCTAAGGGCGAGAATATTTTTTGTGACAAAAATAAAATATAGAGACAAATAAAATTTTCGTCACCTATTGTTTTATTGATTTTAAGCATTTGGTGACAAAATTTGGTTTTTCTCTCTAAAAATACTACAATTGGAGACCAAATCTTATTTTTATCTCTAAAACATGTATATTTTGAGACGAAATTTTCTTTCATCATGCATTTTCATCACCAAAGACCTTTTTTTGTTGTTATGATTGTCGAAGATAAGAGAGATGAGCATCTTGATTTTGATTATGAAATTTCATCAACCAAATCACCAGTATTACTTTCATATAGCAGTAACAATGACTTTCAATCATTTATGTCCCGTCATTTAGGTATCACAGATAAGAATGCATATCATGCCCTTCGCAATGATTTAATAGAACATATGTGGCATCTTCATGGTGAAAACTAACTTCACCACGTGGACGAGAACATGAACTTTTAGGTGGCTTTTTTGATTGGTGCTCTTCAACCTATTGTTGGTGCTCTTCAACCTGTACACATCCGTTTTTACTAGTATTATTGGTTCGTTAACTTTGTCAATATTGAAAATAGTGTTAATTTTGAATGTAATGATGTGATAATTTGTTGATGTTCTAAAGTGTGCATGTGAAATGTACTGTTAATAAAGTGGTTTTTATCAACATATTTACTACATTAACACAAAAAAATAAAACTACAAACATAGCCATTAAGGAATTGATGTAATTCTAGTAACAAAATATTTCAATTGATTGCTCATATTATTTTGAAATTACAAAATTGGTGTTGGGTATTTATGCCCTTAAATCCATTCATTTACACATTTTGTTGTTAATTGATTATTTTGACATATTGTGAATATGGTCATTGTATTATTTCAATGCACTTGTTTTGATGTGTCCTCAAGATTGAATTTTAGATGATCATAGTGTCAATTAAAATGATGACTATTGATATGGATTTGGACTACTGATATAGATGCCTATAACATATAGCTTACCTTAGTGAATAACTAATTTACTTATTTTGTATCTACATTTAATAAATTACCAATGACTCATGATTTTTATATATATCCACCATTCACGAAATCAATATGTTGGTGAGTGTAAGAAATTCAGAGAACATCTTCCATGACAGATTGCTTTTGGATGGTATGCCCCAACCACACAAATTTGTGTATTTGGTGAATTTGTTATGTTTACTAATTCTTTGTATATTTTTATGGATGATTATGGACAACTAGTTTGCTATATTTTTTTTGCATGCAATGAAGAAGCCTGCAAACTTCACCATCGGTTTCATGAATGCCTCATTTACACATACAACCATCCAACTACTTCATTAAACAAATTGACCCACCACCTACCTCATTTAAAGTTATTGAAAATGCACTCTATATAGACACAATACCATGCCAGTGTAAGATTTGCCATTAAAGCTCTTCATTCAATTGAAATAATGGTCTTCATTAAACAATCAAGGAAATCTATTTGTTAATCGAAATAAGATTTGTTGTTGAAGCTCTTCATAGTAAACCCTTTGTATAGGATTTAAATTGGCCATGTCCATTGACATTATTTATGATTCTCATTTCGTTGTTCTCTTTCATTCATCATAGATAATAGTTTTAGTTATTGCTCCCTAACCTCGGCTCTTCTTCGACATTCTATAACCTTCTGTTCACATTCTATCGCCTTTTGTTCATCTCACTCTACAGTTCCAGCGGACATAGTTGACAACACTTCAACAATTTTAGATTGGTTGGCAGCCATTTCATCAAATCTAATATCGTGAATTGCTTGATTCTTCAATTTTTCTTTTGCAGCCTTAGTACCAATTGGTCTTGTTGATGTATTAGTCGGTTGTTGATCTTCCTCAATATTGTTGTTGGGTTGAAAATGCTCACCTTCAGTTGCTGGATTCGAAAGTGGATAAGGTTGTGGCGTGGCTTTTTTGAGTTGTGCTATAATTTCATCCCACTTACAACTTCAGCGCAAAATATTCCAACTTTTATCAAATATAAAGTGTTTTTTCTGTCTTGCATGATACATGCGCTTAGCTTCAGTGATCTAAAAAACGAAAATTATAAACATTTCGATGAAAAGTAGACTGAGAACTCAAAAAATTGATATTTAATAATAGAAATAAAAATTGCTATGTTTGCCTCAGTTGTTCCACTTTGTTGCCTCAATTGGATTTGCTCAAGAAAACTACATAATTTATTAATTGCCTTTTGCATGACAGACCAATAGTGTGACAAAAAAATACGGTTTCGATTTGATTCACCATTCAATTGTGAATTAAAATAAACGAGTACTCATTCCCAGAATATTGCCATGGTTTGACTATTACCAGCAATGGAATCTTGAGAGACAGCCAACTAAGATCTACATAAAGTTTCATCTTCTATAATGGTGAACGTTTTACCATGAGAAACACGAGAAGTTTCCGAAATAAAAGTACTATCGGTGTTCTGCTCTAAAATTTGTGATTCCTCAAACATTTCAAAATCTTCTAGAGTTTTAAGATAAAATTTGTACAAATAAACAAGTTAAAAAATTTAATAGAATACAACATCTAACACATAGTGAAATATATTGTAAAAGAAACAAGAAGAAAAAATAAAGAAAAAAGTGAAAAATTAAAGAAATAATATGGACTGAAGATCACGCAATAAAAAGATAAATGAAAAAAAAAGTGAAGATTAAAGTTAACAATGACAAAGAAAAGAAAAATTGTAATGATATTGTGAAATTAAAAGACTGGTAGACTCTTATTTTATAGACCACAACAACGGTAACTTTTTCAAATCCTCTGCAAAACCAACGGTAACCTTATTGGAGTTGCACCTTGCTAAATGAACGGCTAATTTTGATACAAATTTAAATCTATATGCAATGCATTTGCCTTTGCTAAACATGCATAATGTTAGTAAGGAATATCGTCTTGGTGCCACAAAAAGCAAACAACTTTGCAAGCCAGTTTGCAGTCCAAACCATGGTAGTGTTCTAGGAATTGTTGAGTTAGCCGGACGACTGGGGGGACAATCGACCGGATGTTCGGTGGGTCCCACCCCCAACGTACACGCATAGTAAATTGGTGAAAATTGCCCCAAGTCCTCAGTTTGGTGAAAGACTTGGAATGTTCTCAATTTGATACAGTTTTGATGAAACCGTTGGAGACCAAAGAAGTGTATTTTTTCACCAAATTTAAATTTAGTGATGGATTCCTTTAAACGTTGAAGATGGCCTAAGACCTACCTTATTGAGTTGTCACTACTTTAAATAGTAATTAGCACAATTTTTTAATTAATAACTAATATAGTTTAAGGCTAATGCCACCACTTATAAATTTGATGAAATGATAAAACTCCTTTGATTTGATAAAAAAAATAACTCTCTCTTCATTTGATATCTATTTGATGAAACGATTAGAACTGGATTCTCTCACTTTTTTCATCAAATTTGAATTTGAACAAATTAATTTAAGAATAATGTTTGAGGGCCCGAAATTAGTGGCCCGAATGTGGCTCAAAACCCAAAACGACGTCGTTTTGGGTTTTGATTTTTTTTTTTTTCCTTCCTCTTCTTTCTTTTTTTCTTCTTCTTCTTCTTCTTCTTCTTCTTCTTCTTCGTTTTGAACCTGAGAAGCAGAGGCGAGAGAGAGAAACAGAGGGGAGAGGTGGGAGCTCGTCGTCGGTCGTCGGCCAATCGTCGCAGCTCGTCGGTCGTCGGCCGATCGTCGCCTCTGCCTCCGCCCGCCTCCACCTCCGCCTCCCTCCGCCTCCGCCTCCCTCTGCCTCTGCCTCTAGCCCTATTTTT